GGTCAGCAGCACAGCAGGTAGAAATTATACTCTATAACCATGAAGTATTCGTTTGGATGACCACTTCTCAAAATGGAGGATAGCGATTCAATTAGTTACTTTTGAAATAAAAAAAAGTAGGCTAATTCTTCGAAACAAGATGTTGCAAAAGAACCATGATACATATTTTGTTCCGAAAATCAGGCAAGGGTATGCTGATCATGTCTTCTTATACATTTATTGAGATTAAAATAGCACCTCTCCAGGGCATCTAGTTGTAAAGAGTATTTGAACCGTAAAGCAAATATCAGTTCTAATAATACGCAATCTTTAAAGCAAACATTCTCGGTGGGATGGTGTAGCTGGTTTTTTTTAACAAAACGAAAGCATTCTTAAACGTGTGGAATTTAGTTTTAGAAACAGACATTTTATGAACTTATTGCTCTGAAGAAATAAAATGTTTTCTTTGAGGAAGTTTTTGACCAGAGTTGTACATCCAACCGTGATCCTGTTACAGTGCACGATCTAAGGTAGATGGCGACTGTGCAACAGCCACTGAGCTTCAAAATGTCGGCAAGTGTCAGGCAACCGCCCCTGTCATTACTGAGAATAATACCAAGGTTGAATGGTTTTAATGACGACATGGACATGTTTGTATGACCCTAAACATGTGCTTCGCTATAATTATAAGGATTTCATATATTATACTGATGCTTTTCTAGAACAAAAACCATCTTTCTAGAATCTCCTTTTTTCACGAGGAAGGTAGGGATGCAATGTTCATAACGAACAATTAGAGAAAATGGAGTTACGTTTCTAGGTCAACAAAATCTATCAGTGGGCCTAGATTATCCGCAGAAATAATGATTACTGGTAAAAGGGAAACATTTAAAATACTGAGAGAGAGAGAGAGAGAGAGAGAGAGAGAGAGAGAGAGGGAGAGAGAGGAGGGGGGGGGGGGGTAAAGGGGAAGATAGAGGGGGTATTTTCGTTATTATAGAGTAGGAGCAAAAAAGACAAAGCTCTCAAATTACCAAGTGCCTTTTCAGGACATGCAAGCATCCTCTAAGTCAAAGATGCCTGCTTTAAATACCCCAAAGCGCTGTATTCAAGTACAATTTTGTTCTCTCTCTTGATAAGAGTCCCCCCCCCCCCATCCTCCTGTGCACAACCTACGTTCAATTAACATGTATTATACAGTTGAGCTCATGTAGCTTTGGAAAGATTTCCGTTTACGTGATGTAGGAATAAGATACTGGGTGGAAATAAATCCCTATAGTACGATTTCTTCCACACTCTACAGGAAGTGTATGGAATTAGCGAAAATGCATGGGCGTGATCAAGTCTTCGGAGCATCTTGGATGGAGGTGAATAAGAACAAGACACACGCCTATCAAAAGTAGGAGATAATGTTGTTCTCATAATGAAATGAGTAAAATTAGTATAAACCGTATGTAGGGTATTGCGTCATGTTATACATTTCTTTAGATGACACTCCCTCCAATCCCTACTACTTATTATAGTGTGAATTATTCAATTGGCCTAGTATGTAAAAAGAAACTGATCGAAAATTTAGCCTTTGAGGCAGAAATAAAGAGCAATGCAAATACCAGAAAAGTTTCATTTATAATGGTTGTACATTCCAGCAGAAATCGAAACTAAAACTGAAATCAATCGACAAGCTCACTTGTTATGGCCTCTAAACTCATTTATTCAGATAAACGAACAATAGAATATACATCACTGCAAATAATTTATATAATTTCGGTATGAAGAATGTTATGGATGGCTGTAGGGCGAATACAACGTGACTTTCAGGAATGATGTTGCTTTATTTGTTAGACTTTATCAACTTGGGACAAGACAAAATTGAGTATATTATATTTTCTTAAAACTAGCGTTTTATGTTTTTCCATCGTAAATTTGTTTAATAAAATAGTCCAAGAAATCAACATTATAGATCATTTTATCACATTGTGATTTATTTTTAAAGAACCAGGAAATGCTCAATAGAAAACTTACATATTCTGACTGTGTATCAGATCAGGGGGAAATATATGTGGTGTACGTCCCATGTTGATATCATAGGGTTTCATTGACAGGAAATGGCCATACGGGTGGAATTGAATATCAATATAAATTTCAATTAAAAGGATTACCAAACACCTTTTCCAAGTTACACGTAAATGTGTTTTAATTAAAGAAAATAAGGTTTTCCCATGTTCCATATAATATTATGATCCACCTTCATTTTAAAATAGCTTCCTATCAATCAGTAATTGTTTGTTTATTTGTTTTACTTGACTGCTAAGAAAGCATGTGTATGCTTGTAAGTAAGCAACCAGGGGACCGACGGATTTAAGACCTCACCAAGGGACTTGGTAATGAGGATTAATGCCTTACCAACGTGCACTACAGCGGGTCGACTTGGTTTCGAACCCGGGAACTCCGGTTACGAGACCACTGCTCTACCACTGAGCCATCGCGCCTCATAAAACATGCACTCACACACATACGTTTGACGTTTGAGGGCGACCTTTCTCTACCAATGAAGGGAAATTATCTTTCCTAACGCATCAACGTTCATGAATATCCGACGATATGATTTTTACATTTCCACAAGCCTACAATGACATCTGACTTGAGATGGAGCTATTACATTACAACAGTCTGCGAGAATAAAATCACACATTGAAAGGTCCTGTATATGCAAAGTCCGTATATCACGCTAACCGAAAAATAAAATACAAAAAGAACCCCCAAACCGAGCCAATGATTATAGGCAACCTAAAAAAAATTGCAGCAATCCTTCAACAATCCATATTTGTTTATATTCCCCTTTCCTGATATGTTTTTCTTTTTGTGTTCTGCTTTTGCCCAAAGCAAGCGTAGGATAGTTGATTTTCTTTCTAAAATAATTACAAAGTCATGGATAAAGTCTCGGGGTATCAAAAGAGTCTTTCAATATTCAAACTAGATGGAATTCGACTGCGCGCAGTCGAAAATGATGCCTCCGTTATAGAGCAATTTTACAAACCAAAACAGAAAAAAAAAATTGAATTCACGTTCAATGGTAATCCATTGACAGGTTCTCAGAATATTGTGATTACAAGCAATTTCTCATATGCATATATGACCCTTTGATCTTTGACCTCATGACCATAAAATCTACTCAGTTCATTGGCTCTGCAAGATGTTCTGAGTTAAATAGTAATCCATCTGTCAGTTCCAATGAGAATGCGTTCACAAGCTATTTTTGCATACATAATGGGCCCATGACCTTTGACCTTTGACCTTATGAACCAAGAATCTACTCAGTTCATTGGCTCTGCAAGTAACAAACATGACCTAATTTTGGCATGAATCCATCAATCGGTTCTTGAGATAACGCGATCACAAGCTGTTTTTGCATTCATAATGTGCGCTGTGGCCTTTGACCTTTGACCTACGTGCTCCAAAATCTAATCAGATTGTCTTCCTATGGTGATACACACTATCATTAAGTTTGAAGTTTTTACATCTCCAGTGGTTCTTGAGATATGATAACAATCTCAATGTATGGAATTTCATAAGTTGACCTCTGTGACCCTTGACCTTTGACCTACGTGCTCCAAAATCTAATCAGATTGTTTTCCTATAGTGATACACACTATCACTAAGTTTTAAGTTTAAATCTCCAGTGGTTCTTGAGATATCATGATAACAATCTCAATGTATGGAATTTCATAAGTTGACCTCTGTGAACCTTGACCTTTGACATACGTGCTCCAAAATCTAATCAGATTGTTTTCCTATAGTGATACACACTATCACTAAGTTTGAAGTTTAAATCTCCAGTGGTTCTTGAGATATCATGATAACAATCTCAATGTATGGAATTTCATAAGTTGACCTCTGTGACCCTTGACCTTTGACATACGTGCTCCAAAATCTAATCAGATCGTCTTCCTATGGTGATACATACTATCCTTAAGTTTGAAGTTTAAATCTCAAATGGTTCTTGAGATATCGCGCTAACAAACTCAATACAAGGAATTTCATAAGTTGACCTCTGTGACCTGTGACCTTTGACCTACGTACTCCAAAATCTAATCAGATCGTCTTCCTATGGTGATAAATACTATTCCCGAGTCTTAAGTTTAAATCTTAAATGGTTCTTGAGATATTGTGATAACGGTCAAACGGGACGGACGTACGGACGGACGGACGGACAACCCGAAAACATGATGCCTCCGGCACCACCTTCGGTGGCGGAGGCATAAAAACACACCGGACTCATATTTTAAAATCTTACTTAAAACTGAATAGCTTAAATTTGATTAGAACCATGAAACGGCACCATGTGTAGTGTTGGTGTGTTAATATAAGAAAGAGGGAGACATAGGGAGTCGAGAGTGAGAGAGAGAGGGGGGGGGGGGGGGGATGGAGAGAGAAAGAGGGGGAGAGAGAGAGAAAGGGGGAAAAGGGAAGGGGAGATGGGATGGGGCAGGAAATTGTTATAAAACCTTCTGAGAATGACTAATATTTGGGGATGTATTTTGATACAACTGGAATGTAAAATCAGAGGTCCAACTAGTCTCAACTGTTGATGCAAACACTTGTTTCTTAAAGGTAAAGACCAGTTATGGTCATGCGATTGCATTGTGAAAGAAACGTTGTGGAATCCATCAGAAAAGGTTGATCATCTAGCATCTAGCATCTGCAAGGTTCTGGAATCATCAAAATGATAAGAAATTTGGCCCATTCTTCGTAAAGTTACAAGCACTATACACGGAAAGATGTATATGGGACTACCCTTTATCTCTCACAGACCATGAGAGAAACAAATTTACCAAATATATGAATTAGTAGGCGGTTTCCCGGCAAATTTTTTATCATCAAGTATTGGTCAAAACATATTCTTTCACATGATTGGTAATGAGAGCTTCCATTTCATTTTTTGAAATTGGGGCGTTTCCAATACTGGTTTTTACCTTTAACTAAGCTCAATTTGACGACATAAAAATTATCAGGTACACACATTTCATAGACATAATGTTTTTATTTTACAAAATATAAGGATAACATTAACATTTAGTGCATCTCATTCTGGTCTTCACCTTAGCTGATACAACCGCCCTGATTTGCTTATATCTTGTAAACATTATTAAGATAAAAATTACTTGTGACATGAAAACGAGTTGGTATTTAACTTTCTAGAATTTCTGGACTGGAATGTGAAAAAAATAATCCTCTTCTGGAATTGTAAGTGAAATAAATTTTAGTCTGGAAGATTTAAAAGAAAAAGATAAATAGGGCACTACAAAAGAGTAAAAACAAACAAATTATTGTTTACATTGCTTAGATTAAACATCACATTTTATCAAATATTTTATCAAATAGAACGGACCACAGTTACACAATGTAAGGAAATAGTAAGGCATACAAATGGGCACACTATTCTTTAACATGAAATGAAAATGAAAATTTTCAAAAATATTCTCATCTAGTCTAGGGGCATGAGGAATAATGTGTCATTTAGCAGTTATCACATCCATATTTAATACATTTCAAGCAAATTACAAATGTAGTTATGAAACAAAAGATTTGATTAATGATCTAACTCTTCACTCAGAATACATCAATGCATGTTATACCGTTCAACATTGAATGAAAGACAAGTGTGATGCAAATTACTAAATCTTGATTTCTTCCACTACCAGTACTACATAGTCATTCAGTATTTCTGTAAAAGTAGTCATATTAATAACATGAAATTCAAACATTTAAATCTTTTGTTTTTCCAGAGTAGTCATAGTAATTACATAGAATATGAAAATAAAGAATCATAATTTTTTATTTGTTTACAATCTAAGCTCCAATAAAAGCAAAGTTTGAGTTCTGGTAATGCTGGAACAAACATTCCAATATAACCTACACTGAATGTTCAAGAAAACAAACGTAATGGTATCTTCTGATGATTTCAGTCAAAATGTCTTTAACAGGTCAGTGATAAGAGAAATTAAGCTTAACACAATTGCAGAGACTTTTAAATATCCAAAATATTTAATTTCAGTTTCTCTTGAAATGCTGCTCCTTTACTACTTACCAAAACTCAAGGTAAGCTTTAAATAATGTGAAAAAAACCTCAAGGAGTACTGACTACTGTTATTTGTATAATGCCCACGACTTGTGCCAATGAAAAGAATAACGAAGTAAAAGTGCAGACAAATGAGACCATTATTTCAGAAAAATACATTTGACACAAAAACAGAAGACACTCTTTTTTAGTAAAAACTTACCTTATACTGTACATGATTTACTAATTCATTCTAAAAAATAGATTTTTGTTTGTAACATCATGCACTGCACTTCTCTTATATATTTCAGAAAAAAAGTTAAATTTAATATTTATCATTTACTATTTACAATACTTACATAAAATTTTAGGAAAGGAAAAGGAGCACTTATTTTAATGACAATGCATTATTCACATGAACGCTTGCATTCTATCAAATACAGCTTTAACTTCTGTCATGTTATGGCATGGGATTGTTTTAAAATAACCTTATTGAACAAGTCTATCTTGATAGCATGATACACATGTATACAATATAATAAACATACCATTGACCAATGCTAGCAGTGTATAGTTGCATGCATTGCTCCTCATTGGAACAGCCTGAATACACATTTAAGTCAACTATAAATTAAAAGGTTTTAAGATATAACATAATTGAAAATCAAACTCATTTATTACATTTCTCAAACAGCAAACTGGGCCCTGTCTTACAAAGAGTTGCGATTGATCTAAATTAATCACAAGTCCTTTTATCAATCGCAAGTTTGCAATCTCCTATGTCTTATGTACATAAATGCATTGATATCAATCCCAAATAAGTTGCGATTAATATCAACTCTTTGTAAAACAGGGCCCTGGTCTATAATACTGTACCAACATTAAAAAAATACTTCTACTTTTCCAAATTTTATATAAAACTATTGTTATGATCAGCTTCAGAAATACAATATCTAAATAAAGTGAAGTATATCAAACTGTATCCACTAGATAAACATGGTAACAGAAAGCAATGAGCAAATTTCCTCTCCTATTTCTCTTAATCAGGCTTAAATGTTCTTTTGTACATACAGCTCCTATATGCATACATGTATCATGAAGAAAAAAAACATTTTGTGTTACTTTTTACTGTTGTTTGTCAGTTAAGGATAATTACAGCATTGCACATTTTCTGTTTAATGAATGAAAGTGTGATAAATAACCCTGATACCAATTGATGAAATGCTTTACATAAAGACTACATAGGAAGGCAAGACTACAAACCTCTAGACACAGCAAGCAGCATTTTTCTTTCCTTTTGCACACAACAATAAGATATCATCTACATCTTTATGAGATTAACGCCAAATAACAAAACATATTTACATACAAAAATGAACTTTATATACAATGAAGTAAATACAGCATAGTCAGCATTCTTATCATGTACTTTTATCATGAAAGTACCAATTATAAATCAGAATCAAAGTTTAATGACACTTTTTGCATTCAGATAGCCTGAGAATCGATTACAGAAAGAAAAGAAAGCGAGATATGAAGAAAGATGTGATTGGTATGAAATGCTGCTCAAATGAAAGACAGAGGGCATATATACTGTGAACAAAATTGCATAAATCAGAAACAAGAGTTTTCATAGATCATTCAATGACATATAAACTAATCAAAAATTGCATAACATTGATTTTTACTGAAGTAGATATCAGTAAAGAAATCTTGCAAAAACCAAAACAGAATGTTGTTCTCAAACTAGCATACACTATCCTGCCAATATCAGTTTTGATAGTCTTACCATAAAGATAGTCAAAACTATTGTTGAAACTAATAAGTTTTCTTACTTGCTTCATGAAAGCATTTTCACAATTCACTTATCACAATCTACTCTGATTTTAGAATAATTCCATGATACTTAACTTCCCATTACAAGATTTAATATTGAATTAGGTACAGAAAGTTCTAATAATAATAATAATAATAATGATGATAACAATATTAATAACAAAACAATAATAATGATGGATATTTTTATAGCGCACATGGTGTTCAATATCGATATCAATTCAATAGTGATGGGCACTTCTGTAGACCTATTGGGTCCATCCTCTATGCATACCAGCTGTGGGGTGAAGTGCATTGGAAGCTGTCACGTAGAATAGAATCAAAATAGAACGCACTGCAGTACAAATCTTTCCAATATGTGATTGCATCATTTAGTTTAAAAATATAAATAATGCACAGACTTCATAAAAATTTCTTGGAATTGTCAATTTTTCAGGGCTGCAAGAAATATGAGGCACTATTTCCGTCATGAATGCTCTGTACAGACTGGTCTAGCATTAGCTGAAGACAATGTAATAAAAATCTGCTATGATTTTCTTTCTTGAAAGGCATACCGGTATAGATAAAGTGGCTTATGCTTAAAAGCCTGAATTTGGATGACATCATGATATCTTTATTTACAGATTTTCAGATAGAAATCATCTCTAATAAATTGTCTTGAAGGTTTATCCATGAAGGCAATGCTGAAACATATCCACCTAGGATAGGTGACTCCTGGAAGTGATTCAAGGTCACTTCTTGCAATTGATGAGCCTCCTCTGAGCAGTCTTGCATTCTGACGTTCATGATTAGGTATTATGAAGCACAACGCAGCTAGTGTCTTATTTGTAGCTAGAGTCATATAAGAAGCTAGAGTCATATACGAAGCCAGAGTCATATACGAAGCCAGAGTCATATACGAAGCCAGAGTCATATACGAAGCCAGAGTCATATACGAAGCCAGAGTCATATACGAAGCCAGAGTCATATATGAAGCCAGAGTCATATACAAAGCCAGAGTCATATACGAAGCCAGAGTCATATATGAAGCCAGAGTCATATACGAAGCCAGAGTCATATACGAAGCCAGAGTCCTATATGAAGCTAGAGTCCTATATGAAGCTAGAGTCCTATATGAAGCTAGAGTCATATTTGAAGCTAGAGTCATATATGAAGCTAGAGTTGTAGAAAGACAGATCACACTCCAGTTCCCTCTATCTGACTCAAGCGTTTCTCCAGCTCCAGAAGACGCACGTGCTGGTCAGATACCATGGTGAAGAGCTGAAGAGAAACACAGTCAAAATCATGGTATTACCATTCTGAAGATATGATGAAATTATTTAAACTCTCCTCCATAACATACCATGATGAATCATCTTTCCAAAATGACAAAATGAGTACATGTGACAATTTTACTTGTATCAAAATTATGAGAGGAAATGAGAATTTAATGAAGAACTTATTCATACACAATAAGAGTTTCACAGCAAAGCAGTCTATTTTCCTAGAAATAAACTAAAACGTTTTGATTTATTGCACAAATCTTCTTGGAGACCATGTTTCAAATCTATACATGTAATTAAATCTATCAGTAGATTACAACATTCCATGAGCTTATTTTAAGCTCTGACAAGTGCTCAGTTGAAGACAAAAAATCTCCTTGAACTAAGCATCTTTTCTTAATTATCAACAAAGAAATGGGAAATCATACAGGTCACAGTTGTGAGTAAAGGAGTATACAGTAATGCACACTGTATTTTCTAACACTTCAAATTGTGTGAATATCATGCAGGCTCTCACCTTCTTGTTCTCATTCTCTAGATGCGTGACCCTGTCTCTGAGAGCCTCCACCTCTACGTCCTGAGCCAAGCCCATCTTAAAGTTATCCTCGGTCTGTGATAGCGCTGCAAAGCTCAGAGGAGGTACAAAGTGAGGACGCTGGAACCCACTGTCAGAACAACTCGAACCATCCAACTCAGGTTTGCCCGATGGTGGTTTGGCTGCTGTAGAGTTGTATTGAGGTGGAGCAGCAACTTTGGGAGTGGCGGAGTTTGTGCTATCGTTGTTCATTGACTCTATCGTTGGCATGGGAATGAACTCGGCTTTCTCAAGCTCCTACAAATTAAATTTAACAAATGGTTTGCCAAAATAAAACTTAATGAGATAAATTGAAGAAAATACCTCCTCCCCCAAATTCTGTATGAAGAAAACAATTTAAAGCAACTGATAGTACAATGAATTAACGACAATAACCTTATACACCTGCACAGGAGCAAACAAATTTTCTTAACTATTTGTTATACATTTAATAAAACATGACAATTCCCACTTCAAAGTGCATACTAAAGGCAACGAATTATTATCACCAATGAAAATCCATACTGCCTTGTTACTGGACCTCAGTCACACACAACTTGTAAGACTGTTTGTATACTCACATTTTTGAGCCATGGTGGCATGGCGCTGTCTTCACCATTCTCATCATCATCTTTCCCTCCTCCATTAGTCTCCTCTCGTTGGCTCATGCTACCAGTCCCACCAGTCTCTTGTCCAGAGTCCCCTGTGTGCAACCCTTCATCATGTGACATGTTTCCTGACGTGTGATTGGTTGATGGCTCTTGCTTTAACGACTCCTGTGGTCGTGATTCAATACTCCCCGAGCTTCTCTCTGGAGTCTGGTTGGGTGCGCTCTTCTCACCATCCTGACCAACGGCTGCTGTAAAGACACTATCGTGGCTCAGTTGGGAACTCACTAAACAAAACAAAGATTAAAGAAAAACTGCAAATCCACTGCACACAATATATATGATGTAGGTTAAAATCCAATTATTTTAACATACCACAATGTAACAGCATCATCTGGAAGACCTGGGCCCCGTTGAACAAAACTTACCATTGATAGTAACTTTGCCATCAATGGTAACTACCATGGAAACCTTGATTTTGATTGGCTGTGTAGATATACAGTAGGCTTACGGTTGCACCATGTGAGAGAGGGGGGGGGGGGGAGTCCAGCCGGCACTTTAGTTCTCCTTAGAACTATAAGCTCAAGAAAGATTACCAACAGTCTTTTTCAAGACTACCAACAGTCCTTTTCAGGACTACACACACACTCAAGAAAGAAAGATTACCGACATTCCTTTTCAGGGCTCCCAATCCTCCCCCCCCCCCCTTTCTCTCTCTCATATGGTGCAACCGTAATTCTACTGTATAATACATAGTTTGTAGTCCATGAAGAGCTAGCCATCCTGCTAAAAGCCTTCAAGAGCAGCCATGAACAGCCAGGAGCTACCAAGAGTAGAGCCAAACACAAGCAAACAGAACATCCCAGGACTGCCAAGAGACTATCAAGAGGCTCCTCCTTCAAGATCGCCAAGGCTAATAGAATTTATGTTGATGAGAAGTCATGATGACCTACGTAGCTCTTGGCAGCCTTTAATATATTACACTCATTCTCGGCCCTCGGCAGATATTTGTGGCTGTCTGTCAGTAGACTGATTACAGTCTCTTGCCAGTTCTTGGATGCTCTTGGATGCTCTAAGTAGCACCCATGGGGAAGGAAAGTTCAGCACACTAAGATTAGTTTTCAAGGAAATGCAAAACACACTTGCCATTTAGATTATTCCACACTGTGTGCATAAACCTTATAAAATAAATCGTGGAAAATTAGTTTTGAAATTATACCCAAATTAACAACACACAGAATCCATGAATTAATAATATATTTTGAAAAGTGCATATGAGAGGGGTTTTACCTTTGCTTGAATTACTATCCATCCGTGGTGTGCTGCGGAGGGTCTTTGGTTTGGATACCACTTTTTCTGTAAATGATAAAAAGTATAAACATTGATTAATTTTGTACATTCATAAACTATGTACATTCATAAAATCTGCTATAAAGTACGAAGGTTAACCCGTAAATCCTATGATAGATTAAAGCACAAGTATAGAACCAAAGAAGATCATTTAGTACTACTGATAATATTCCCACATGGCTATGAATTCTCACAACACTTGTAATGGTTTAGAGTTTCTGACTTTATGATTGTGATTTACACATATGTTTTATTTCAACTGCATACATGCCAACATTTGAAAATCAGAAATCTGTACAAATTATGCTATTTTCAAAAAAAAGAGGAACAATCCTAACTCTCCTATTCAATACTACAGACAAATTTGTACAGGAAGAGGAACACCTGCATTAAAATGATAATTATCTTCTCCCAAAAAGAGGAATGTTCCTCTTTAATCTGAACAGTTGGCATGTATGCAACTGCAGAGTTGAACTAGCCCTTGGCTACACTGCATTTATATTATGCCAATATCTAAAAGCAATGCAATCTATAGATTATTGGTTAAACATATTCCAATATTCAAGATGTCCAAGTGATTGTTACCGGCAATGATGATGGTATGCCAATATCTACATGAGAGACCAGAGACCATATGAAGTGATCCAAAGACAGGTTTAGGTGTAGAGACGGATTGTTTCTTCTTATGGCTCCCAGTGAGATCATCACCGTGTCCAAGACGACCGCTGTCAACATGGCCAAACGAGAAGATCTGGTTGTCTGCAAGGGTAAAGTTAATCATTAGTTACATCGATCAAAGATCAACAAAATGGTAGGGAAAGATTATTGGTTCAGATTATACATGTGTTTCTAGGTATTATAAGATGATGACGTGGATCCTAATCAATTGATTGGTTGAAAACGTACACGTTACTAGGCATTTGTTTTGCCTAACGCGTAATCGTGCGTAATTTGGGTAATGACCGGTCATTTTCAAAATCATGTTAGAAAACATAATTTTATAAAACAAATAAAACATAATCTTATAAAACAAATAATACACCTCATTTTGATCGGACATTTAGTAAAATTACCCACTCTTGGTACCTTCAAAACAGTCCAAACGCCCTCGGCTGTCGCCTCACGCGTGTTAGACTGTTCCAAAGGTACCTTGTGTGGGTAAATGCCCTCACTGATGTGTATTATTTGTGTACTAACCCATTGCCTACAGGAATCAGAAAGCTCATGTATTAAATCATCCAGAACTGACAAAATCAGTAGTTAGTGGATTATCAATATACAAGTACATGTAATCTACCATATTTAAATTCTGAAATGCCTCTCTTCAGCACATTTCATTGTACACACTGCCCAAACACAGTATGGATATAATAACGATCTCAACTACAAAATGTAAATTTGTTGCACTCCTATATTTTAGGCAGGTTTGTTGGGCTTTCTCTTTTGGTGCATTAAAACAATTAGCACTCAAAACTGAGGATAAGAAAAGAGATTAAGAAACAAAGAGAAAGAAACTTAAATATTCAAAACGTGCATGCAACTTGATGAGTTCACTCTTGATATCTAACTAAATACTTTGAGCTATTGAACATCTACATGACTTGGACAAACCGAAACTGATGAAGCTGTGAAGAGATACATAGCATACCTGTGGTAGCAATGATAGTGAAGCCATCTCCACAGCTAGCAGTCACTACATGTTTACCGGTGAGAAATCCTTTCACTTCACATATGCCAGATCTTCCCTTGCAGTCTCCCACACCAAGCTGACCATACTGATTAGAACCGAACATGATCAGACGACCAAAATCTAAACACAAAATAGAATAGCAACTGCAATTACCATCAATTATTTACAAGTTGTGCCTTAGAATGAGAAATAGATTTGTGTCAGGTATTTTGAACTACCACTATTCAAGATATGTCACTTTATGAAGTTTTCCTTTCTCAAGTCTTGTACATCTTTTGACACCAAGTTTTCAAAAAAATAGGTTAGTAGTTTTACAGAGTCATGTGACCTTTTGTGACCTCATGCTAGCCTGGAAATGTTTGTTATCAACATTCCATTCCACAGTGATTATGAAGGAATATTTCAGTATATGATCTTGTTTTCTAGATCTACACAATATTACTTACTGTCAATAGTAGCCGAGTGTGTATGTCCTGCTGATACAGCCTTGATGTTATATCTGTTCAGAGGTTTCACTAACGTAGGAATATCCTTGTATGGGATGTCATAGCATTCCTGCAAACAAAACAAAGAAAAGCAATTACATTATCTCTCTATTTTAATTAATTTTAACAGTTATCTTTTATTCATTGCAAAAAGATTCGCACCAACCAACATGTTGGCATCACTGAATCACAGTTCACTGCATCTATACAGACCTGCCAACCTCTGGAGTTCAAAAACTGTATTCTTTAGTCCCAAAAGTTGTATTTTACTGACAAAAGTTGTATTCTTGAAAATAAACACGGATTGTTACGCGTTTCAATGCCTCTTACAGTTTCTACCTACAGGAAGAATTTTTTTATTGATCATTGGTTGAATATGCATGATTTCGTCATGACTGGTGTGTTCGATGAACCAATGAACATCCCCAAATTGCCAATGTGAGATGCGTGTAGGATACTTTACAGGACAGAATGGACATTTTGCCATTGAAAATGGCGGACGCACACACAAAATATTAATTTTTTTTTTTTTTTTTTTTTTTTTTTTTTTTTGAAAATCGTATTTTATTAAGGAAAATCGTACTGTCGTATTTGCTTCTAAAAATCGTACTAAATACGACTAAATCGTACTGGTTGGCAGGTCTGTCTATACCATTTATACTAGGTATGTCTCACACACTTGAATCAATAATCTGAATTTACACAATAAATCTTTTCTATTATTTCAATACCGCTACTCCTTCAGTCATCATTAATCACATACGTTTGCAACGATTGCTTTATCATATGCTTCTTAAAATTGAAGATATGCACATGACCTCAACACTTCAGCCAAGGTTTGCTCAGTCTAGCAACATCTGATGGAAGCATAATGGATTCACTCCAGAGAAATGCTTTATACACAACCAGTGACGCTAAACACTTTATCATCACATGATTCTGGAAAGAAGCACCTATCACCATAGGGCTATTGGAAGAAAAACTCATTCATCGATAAAAGACTTGGGTAAAGTGATCTATTCTATTTGTATAGGTATAGCTTTTGTGATGTTTATACTATTATTCTAAACTGAATTCAATTGTTTATCTCACCTTCACTATTCTCTTCCTAAGACCAGCTGTGACTGTGTTGAATCCTAATCTATTATGCTCATTGCTACCACAAGCATACACCTTGCCATCCGTAGTCAGGAAGAAGGATCCTTCAGAACCAGCACTCACTGTCTTGATCTCTTTCTTGCCTTGGAATGTGACCTGGGGAGATACAAAAAGAGACAGTAGAGGGTGGGAGAGGGAGAGAAATTGGGGAGAAAAGAGGTAAGAGGGAAGGGAAGGGGAGAGAAGATGGAAGATAGGAAGAGAGAGAGAAAGAAAGATACTTTTATAATTCATTTGTTCTATTATATATTGTAATATCATATGGTTTATATATGTCATTTAACTTGTGGATATTTGAGAGGAAAATAAATCAAATCAAATCAAAGATGAAGACAAAGAATAGAATGTCATAATAACAGCATAATTTCTATATGAAAATAAAATCTTCCTCCCCATTTACAAAACTGTTTTGTATTGGTGTTATATTTTTGACAAGAATATATAGCTACTCAGAACTCGTAATATCTCAAGTGATACGCATATACTTATTCAAAGAGAAGAGCAAATCTTTAACTACTCATGTGCTATATTATCCTGTAACAATAAATAGTACTTACAGAAAAGAAAAAAACCTTTCAATTGCTTTTTTAGAAGATGTCTCTAAATAAAAAAACTCTAAATAATCACTGAGTATTTCTCTGTTTCTGAGACAGCTGTAATACATGCCCTTTCACTAGGTTAATCTAACTTCATTCATGCTGTTTCAGTATCTATTCTCCAATTAAAGATCTAAAAAACACTGCTGTGTTTCAAAGAACCCTATATCTCCAAGAAAGATGATATATTAGAATAGTCACATTTTGTTTCCTGGATTAATCCCAGGCTTCCGGCTGTACTGAGCACACAACATGCATGCAGAGTGCCAATACCCATTGATAATTATCACTTGCAGCATAATATTCATTCTTATTTCCTATAATAAAAAGTATATCACTCTCCTAACAGACAAATCCAATCATACAGATAATAATAATAAAGTCAACCCTAACTTTATATCACTATCCTGCAAGCAAGGTAAAATGAGTTTCCATAACATAACATGAAATCCTACCTTTTGGGGCAGCTTATAATCATCTTCATTGCCAAGTCCAAGCCGGCCTGTTTGAATCAAGTCAAATCAAGTCAAATATTAATCATATTAATACATCTTTAATGCAAATATACATGTATCCCTAACTAAACATTACAAAATTATCCATACTTTCTTGAAGAGGCAAACAAATATTCACAGAACACACATTTTCATGCTAAATTGCATTAGCAAGAACATTTTGGAAAATAAACAGAATTATATTCAATTCAATTCAATTCAATTCATTTTATTCATTTCCATTTTCAATAAAAACAATACAAAGGTATATACAATGATAGGCATTTGCAATATATAAGAAAATGAAAATAGGGAACTAAAAAAAATAAGGCTAAATGGCCTTGTGGAGGCATAGTAGTTAACAGTAGTTAAGATATTTACATATACAAACAAAACTAAAAAAGAAACATACATCCAATTTTGAGAGGGTGCAGTTGACACAGTACATGAGAGTTAGTATTTATGGAGGGTACATCTAAAAATCAATGAATATCATGTGTTATGCTTGCATAACTGCATGATAATTGATTCCAACCCTTAAACGGTATGCTGAGCCAATGAAACTGGCTCAGAAACAAATATTCACATAACGTACATTTTCATGCTAAATTGGATTAGCAAGAACATTTTGCAAAAAATAATAATAATAATTTCACACTCTTCTATCCAATTTTGAGAGGGAGCAGTGGACACATTATGTGTTATGCTTCTATAATTGCATGACAATGGATCCCAAGCATAAAACTAATCCTACATGTAACCCCACCACTGGACCTTAACCCTGATTTGCTGAGCCAATGGAACTAAAATGTAAACAAAAAATCACATAGATCCAAAGAGATTACTCTTATGGGACATAAGACAAATGGGAGAACGGCCAATCAGAACTAGTTTGACCTATACCTTGTTTTCAACTTATAGAAGTATAATACATGCAGTGACACATACAAACCAGACTTACCAAACTCTCCACACCCCCAGGAGTAGACCTGCTCGTCTTTGGTTAAAGCTAGAATGTGGTTATCACCGCAGGAGATCTTATTCACTGGTCTCTCGTTAAAGAATGATACCAGGATGGGACTTTTCACTTCTTCCTCATCATCATCGTCATCATCCTCTGGTTCGTAGTCCTCACCTCTCCCCAAGCAACCGTAGTAGTCAGAGCCAAATGTGTAGACTTGTCCTTCATCTGCAGAGGAAAGGAATGGGGAAACAGTCTGTCACATAACACAGTCAAACCTGTCTATAGCGACCGCCCAAGGGAAACACAAAAAGTGGCCTTTGTAGACAGGTTCCTTTAGTACATGATTCAATGAAAAATCATTTTCAAGGGAAACGACAAATGTGGCCTTTGTAGACAGGTGGTCACTAAAGCAGGTTTGACGTTGTATGATTTTCATGAATGACGATTTCAGGGGATCCTTATTACAGGCCTACCGGTGAGTTGGATACTCTCAATACTAGATAACTCCTGTAATCTATCTGCTGTTGCTTAGCATGGGTCCACCATTAGGTGCATGAAATATGAGAGGACATGGCCATAGAGTGAGGGGATGGAGTAAGAGGGGTTGAATCATTATCTTTTCATACTACCTTTTCCATCTTCCTTTATTTTCCTCTTTCCCCCCCCCCCCCCCCCTCTGCATTCTGATAGGAGATTCATGTGCCCCCCCCCCCCATCCTAAACTACTAGTATAATTAGAAGTACAAATATTGCAGGCCTTAAAAAGCACTGCAAAACTCCCATCCACATATCAAAAACCGGTACATATATTTGATTTATCAGTTTGATGACTTCATTAGATCAGACTAACCTGTTATACATGCAGTGAACTCTTCTCCGCATCCAACAGCTTTAATAGGTATTCCCTGTAGCTTCTCAACCTTCTTAGGAGCTTTGTAACAAGCTGTATCTCCATGTCCAAGCTGACCAACCAATGCTTGACCACCATGGACATTCTAAATAATAAGGTCAAGGGAGTTGCAATGTTATTCCTGAAATGAAACGATCTAATTCTTTTGCGAAAGATATTAATATGTGGCACAAACAAAATGTTTTAAAATCATCTTGCAAAGACTTAACTTAGATGACTTTTTGGGACTTGGTTATTTCATGTAAAGGCTGATTGTCAAAGAAGCACAATTAAAACAAAATGAATCATTGAAACAAAGAAAGAACTTCAATGAACTAACTATATATTATATATCACTAGTACATATACTATTAAACACATAAAGAGCCAGTCTTGTTTGACGGATAACAAGAACTATAAATCAGTCTCTTGTTTAATGTGTATAAGGTACTGCATTCAGTACTGTCATGCAACCAATCCAAGAAATATTGATACTGAAGAAGACTCTTTAGAATGAATTAGTTAGAAGGGACCCATATTATGATCAGTCAAATAGGACCTGCCCTAACATTGTTGAATGAAGCAAGATCTTTTCGGAACAATGATGTGTTACGTCTAATACGAGACTTCCTCCATCTCAATCTTATATGGATATACTTACAGCCCAGGTAAAGATCTCCTTTTCTACCGTGACAGAGGCAAAGTGAGAGTGGCCTGCTGCTACCTGTAAGGCACGGTTTCCGTCTTTGAATGCTTCCAGCTTCAGCGGAGTTAGGCGACCTCCTCCCCAGTAGAATACCTAATTCAAAGTAGATTACAAAATAAATACCAGTAGACATAATACCCTATACCTAAACTTCATAAACACTTATGTACAGTATGTAGGAAATATATGGGACTGGGAATAATGTGATTATAGTTTTATATCTTTGTTACAATAGCCTAAAGAGTAATCTTTTTCACTTTAACCCTTACTGTACTGGGGGGGGGCCTGGGAGGCCCCCCCCTCGACATTTTCGGAGATTGCGCCGCAACCGCTTGGAATTTTGAATTGTCGTTTCATGACTTTTTTCCCTCTAGTCTTACGCACATTTTGATACCATTTTCGTCGAAATCGGATATACCTGTAAGGCGTTACATAACAATTAGTATGCGCATGTCATCAAAAAAAAAAAAAAAAAATGAAAATCGCATCAAAATTTGCATAAATTATCATTATTAATTACATTAAAATAACTTTTTTGTGTGAGAAAAGAAGTTTCATATGGATAATGAGTTTCAACATTCAAAAAGTGGAGTTTGACACGTTTTCGGTAAAATGCATAAAATTAGCGCGTTTTGCATAATTAATTAGGCTAACGACAAAAATTTGCATATTCGGAAAAAACTAATTATACCATCTTGTTCCTTACGTAAATATCTACAAACATGCAAATTTTCGTGTTCATCGGACAATCGACGGCCGAGATCATAGGGGGGGGCCTCCCAGGCCCCCCCCCCCCCCAGTCAGTGGGTGCTCAAAATAGCCCAGTACAGTAAGGGTTAACTGATACTGCAATTTATTCACATGAGAGTATACCTAACTGAAACAACAACAAACAAGTTATCTACTTTACATATATCATTATAAGTACTAAGTACTCATCAATCATCTATTAAATGACATTTGGAAACTAGAAGCATTTAAATGCTATTTCTAAAGCTTACTCGAATTACCTAGACATGTTATCGAACATTACGTGTTTAATAAGACAAAACTAGAGCAGCATTTTCATTAGACATATTTTTAGCAAAGGATGCATGCAGGCAATTGTCTATCAAATGTATCATTGCTATTTATATATATATATATATATATATATATATATATGTAGGCTAATACACAGCATGAGGCAATGACTTTATTAATCAGATTTGTCATGATTCAATGACACACTGAAAGGAACGTACCATTCTGTATTTGTCAATCATTCTCTTTTGCATGTCAGCCTATTATCTATCAAATATCAGCTACTCATGTGTACATGAATATACATGTAGACAATGATACTTTTTAACAAATGATAAATATCACATTTTTATTGTGATGTGAATCAACACTAATTTGGAAATGAACAACTGCAGACAAATTAAAAATAATAATAAAACAATTAAAAAGCAGTGCATCATTGGTGCTTCAACAATGGCAGAACACAGCTGTATCTTTGGGGGTAATAGAAAGTAATGTAATTAACCATGACAACCAACATCCATCATATTGCGTACTCTGTATGTGCAACTAGGATCAATCAATTAGATCTACGTGCTAAGTAGAAATGGGTCAGAAAGGGTATTAATAAATAATAATGAGGTCTGGGAAAGGTCAAAATAGCATAAAATTGAGAGCTTATGTGCATTCTATACTCAAGAAAAAGAAAAAAATACTGAAGATGATGATGACTGTGATGATGATGATGAATATGATGATAAAGATGATAATACTTTGACTACTACTACTACTACTAATAATAATGATAAGAGAATTGCTACTACTAATGACGCTGATGATGATGATGATGTTGATGAATATGATGATACTTCTACTACTACTACTACTTCTAATGATGATGATGATGATAAGAACAACAACAGTCTCATAATTACTAGAACAGTTCAACCCCTTTTTCTCATCTACCCAAACAGTGTTTTAGGTACCAGTAAATAAGGCTCAAATGAAATAATGCAAAAGTGGGGATGACAGAAGATGGAGGTGAGATCTGACCAGGCAAAGAGTTCTTTGTCATACATACCTCACTGTTTGTGAAGGTAACAACAGGAACTGTTTCTGCTTGAAAGCTGCTCTGACTTTTAGCTCTCCTCACGATGCCATTCAGCTCCCAAACCTTTCTATTTCTTTCTCTATATTAATCAAAGATCAAAGAACACAGTTATCACTGTAGCTTGATATAGTAATACAGATTGTAAGTCATACATATTCTCATAAGGGGGAAAAAAATGAAATCACTTTGAAAATGTTTATTAACATTTGCTAATCTTATGCATTCCTATTCTAATAGCTGTAAGAATACAAAAGCCAGTGTATATTTACATCTAAAATTTAGATTCATTCAAAATGACAAGTACATCACTCACAATACTTCCCCTTCCACCCCCTATCTCTAGCAAACAAAAAAACAAAAAACAAAAATCAACAACAGAAATAATAATGATAACAAATATGATTTAAAAAATGTTTATAAAAAAAAGAATTACATATAACAGGAACATTTTTAAAAATGTAGAAACAATATCAAACTTACTTTTTCTTGTCACTTAGTAACGGATTTGCCATAATTTCAGCTGCACTTGGTCTGTTTTCTGGGTCCTAAGCAAGAAAGATTCAGAATAGTTTAACTATTTACTACTGTATCTGAACAGATTGTCAATAATACTGGCTTAGTCAGCAGACAGTGAGCAGTGCGAAGCCAAAAAAAGATATCAGCACAATCAACATTCCTTCAAAAAATTTCAGATACAACAGAAGCTCCATAAACAGAAAACAAACAAGAAAAACTGAGAAAGAAAATATGACTAAATACTTGAAAGTTGAAACATATTGATATGGCAGTGTTGCTATGCCAACGCTGTCCGTATGTCAGCACCAATTAAGAGTCGAGGGTGTTTTGTTTCCCCCTTGTCAGCCCACACTAGATTTGTCACGAGGTCATTTCACTCTCATGTGTGGTCTTTCAATAGTGATTTCTATTCTACTTCTCTTGCGTTCAAAAGTTTCTTTCTCACAAGTAATGACTGTGCATCCTAGGTTTTAAAACCAAGCTGTCAGGACTTTCAAAATATAAATGATTTATTCACAAGCTACATTACAGAAGTCTGGAATAATCCATTTGGTGTTCTTGATTTACTCTCAGTCTCTTGAATTTCACAATTAATCACTTAACAACTATTCATTGGTATGAGTGCACTAGGACAATCTAAATATCTGATAAAGGAGAGCTGTACATGGCTTGACAACATTCTGCCACACTGTACTGATAGAATATTGAAAATGTAACATGTCTCGTTGAAATCTAACTTGGACAATTGATTATTTGATAAGGTGAAATAATCATATGTTGATTTGAAATATTTTTTAACACTCATGGAGTGGATAGCTGTTCTTCATAGGGGTCCAAGTCAAACAACAAAAAGAAACATATGAACAAACAAATATACTCATAACAAGCAATCATAAAAAAATCATCATATCAAAGAGAAATGCAATTTTTGTTCTTTCTTTCTCTTTGCATCCCTTGAATCCCAATAGCCAAAAATTGAAAAGGGTACCTTGGCAAGGAGTTGTGTAACTAGGCTGTGCATCTCTTTGCTGTATCGTTCATCAATGTCTTCATGTTCTTTCTGTACAATCCCCCATACAACCTTCAGCTGATTCTGTAAAGCAGAAAAAAAAGAAAAAAAAGAAATCTCAAAATGTGCCCATGTTTCACTCTCTCTTATCCTATCATCAGTTGAGAGCCAGAAGGGCATTAATTACCTCTGTGGTAAATTATATGACTTAACGCCCTTCTGGCGACGAGACACTATCTTTTTTTTGTGATCAAGAAATTTTTCCACTGAACAATGATTACTGCTATAAGTTTGCATTACAATCCTACAAGAATGACATTGAAATGAGTTTGATGTTTCATTCTCATTCTCTCTCTCTCTTACTGACATTCTCTCTCTTTCTCTATTTCTCTACCAATCAATCACACCATCATTTTTTAAATTGAGAATCAGTAATAACTTTCAATTACATCCAACATTATATCTTTCCTAAAATGGTCTTACATGTACAGTATGATTTCTGAACAAGTTTACTAATCTGTTTTGAATGCACCGCTGTAAAACAACAGTTTAAAATATCACACTCCAGTATTTTTATTTGATTTAGCCCGATCCAGAACAATGGAAATTCAAACACAATTTAGAGCCTCTTTGAATGTATCACTCAGATAGGTTTTTAAAAGGTTGAAATAAAAGAAATTCTCCTACCGAAGCCTCAAATACTCTTCGGAGAGTGAGAAGTTCATATAGCACACATCCTATGGCCCATACATCACTCTTAGCATTGTATCTGCAAGCAAAAACAACATATTTAATTCAATAAGCTTATGAATTAAATACTTTTTTATATTTACATAAAATTAAGAATGTGACATAGTATGTGACAAAAAGAAACAGACAAATACAGATATTCTTTACAATACAATCGTAATATATATCATGGGAAGTTACATGTATGCAATTATGCAGTTATTATGAAAATTTGTGTACCGGTATGTTTATGTTACATGAACATTTTAAATATGCAGCTACAATTTTGTCCAAAAATATTTGTCAGAGTTGACTATTGTACTTCCATCATCTAAATGTTGCTCTTTGAAACACATTGTTGCGCCTACTTATCCTGTACAGTGTACAAGTGTACTTCAAACATTGCATTTGCATGTAAATGTAAACATCTGATTCCTAGAGAAACAAAACATATTTTGTTGTATTCCTAGTATAAGAGATCTTATAATCAATCTGAACAAAATTTATTTCCATTCACCCCCCCCCCCTTATGTTTACATTTGAAAGTTGATAACAAATGTTCAAATCTTAGGTCTTCTTTACTACTTACTGCTGCCCTTTGACTAACTCAGGTGACATGTACAAAGGAGTTCCAACCACCTGTTATAAACACAAAGCATACAAAATGTAAAGTCAATGATATATCTATATATGGACATTTATTTTCATACAGGACAGGGTTGGTGACTTTTTGTTCAAGTCTGCACCAACAAATTTTGATCTAAATTGAACCAATCAAATAAAGTGAAGTACAGTCAACACTGGTTCTTTTGATTTCCCTGCATCAGTGATTAAACCAGGATTGATATCACTCCAAAGGAAACTCCAAGCTTGAGAGCATTTAATAGAAAAGCATCTAAAAACAGATTATAACAAAATTGGAGATACAATAATATAATAATAAATCACTCAACAAATGTACAGTATACAGACATTTCAAGTAGTCAAATTAACTATTTCACTGTAATCGAATTTGGAACAGCTTTCCATATAATTCTCTCCATTAGAGACATTATACAAAGTCTAAAGTCGAATACAAATGGAAAAAACTGCAGGGAAATTCATACATTTCAAATCGTTTTTATCAGTCATTATTTGAAAATTCTACATGTAGCAAAGTGAAAAAAATACACAGCTCATTATTTTGAACGAAGGTCTGCTTACCGATTCTGCCATTTTATCATCCCCTAAAACCTTTGAGATGCCAAAGTCACCCACTTTTATCAATCCAGATTTGGTCATGAATATATTGAGTGTCTTGATATCTCTGAAATCGATAAGAAGGGGTTGAAAAATCATATTCAATTATACTATACAAGCAAGAATCAAAACATATGTATACGTAATTGTATTTCTTCTAATTTGCCACAAATATCAATAAAATACATTACATGACCTTTGGTGGCAGCTGCAGAAATATAAAAGTTTATGTTGCATAGATGAAAATAATAGAGAATGGTTACAGAAAGATTTGAATTAAAATTCTTTACATTTTCATGATTGTAAAAAGCTCTGTGCACACAGCAGTCAATGCATACATACTGTAACAGGCCTTAAATTTCAACATTTTTAGGGCAAGGCCACTTTTCTGTAGGGCACATTCCTATATTACAGCACCAATAGGAAGAATTGGAAAGGGCACACAAAATCTCCAAGGCCAATGAGAGGGGCATTGAGGCCAATCAAAGGGGCATCCACGGCCATGGCCTTGGTGGCCTTGGATTAATTTTAGGCCTGCATGTAGTATTGATAATTATACAGTACTGTATCACACAATATTTTTCCAAATATAGTTTACCTGTGAAGAACATCTATTTGATGGATATAGGCCACAGCAGACACCGTTTGGAAAAGATACCATAACACCAACTGCAAGTTGAATGTAATATTAAAACAATGGTTTACTTGCTTGAGTTGCTTCTGATGAAAAATAAAAGAATGCTTTCAATTAATATGTACAAAGCACACACACAAAACAAGGTATGGTTGTTCTGAAATCCAAATGTTCCAAGATTATAATAGTTCACACATATCTTCATGAGAGAGGTTTTATCCTTATATTACATTTGTTCAATAAATCAAACTTACATGTACATGTATGTTCATCCTCATTCATCCTCAATATCTGAATAAACTTTCGTCCCGATTACTTAAGAATCCAATTAAATGTAAATTCATTTGATACAGAACATTGGTTCTTGAAAAGGAGCAGAATAAGAAATCTATAGTATTTGGGCCTTTAAAAAAAATGTATATAACAAGCAATTATTTAACAGAAATATAAACTATAGGTACATGACAGACCCACATAACACTAGCTAACACCTTTGCAATGGTGGAAGGCTGGAAGCATATACCCATGGTCCCATACTGTATGACACACTGACACTTGTTGAGAGGTGTTGCCTCACAATAATGAAGTTTTGAGGTTATCAAGGTTACTTCTACAAATCATTTCTTTACTGTTGAAATGGAACACAATACAGTCGTACACTGAGACAGCTTTCTATCATAACAAGACACCTTCCTTTAAAAACTTTGCTTGTATTTATAGTTACACTTGAATAATGGTATAAAGTGACATGTGAAGTACAAAATATTTCAAACAGGAGTGCAAACTTATTCACAAACTTACAAACAGATTCATATTTTTCTTAGTAGAAGAAATAAGACTGAACTAAATGTGATCAAGACAAAGTGATGGGAATGGTTACCTCTTCTTCAAACAGTGTGCCATCTTGATGAACAATTTTCTCATACAGAGTACCCCCTGAAAATGAATAAGATAAATTTCAATCTGTAATACTTAATTCATAATCGTTTCCAGAAACATAATATTCATTACAATATACAGAATAATATTATTCTAACCAGCTTGTTCTTACTGAAAGTGCTAATAAGGGATGACAATTACACACATCTACTCAATTACACAATGTTATTGGAAACGGTATTAGAGATATTTAAATTATAATGGCAAATGTCAGTATATATATTTTCACTTGTAAGTTGGAAAATAAAAATAACTTTAAAAAAATGCACTTTGTAATAGAGCTGATACTGTTTAGAAATACTGGGAAATAAAACCTATGATAAATGTTGGCCTAGTGAGTTAGGCAATATAACTTATATTCTTATTTATTTGACTGAATTACTTCACTTTCAAAAGAAAGACACTACCTACATGTATATGCTGCCAGTAATAAACTGCAATATAAACATAATAACATCATTTTTTTTCAAATTATACCAACCATCGACTTCACAGTGACCGTCCACTCTATTTTCTAAAATCTTAGTTTGATCCGTTTAATATGATCTTTCAATTATTATTATAGATAACCAATTGTTGAGTTTATCTTTGACCACCTAGAAGCACGGAGGACAACACATCTTCTCAAAATCAATGACCAAGACAGTAGCTACATGTACATGTATTACCTGTAACTGTTGAAAATAGCGTATGAAAGATATCAACTTCCAACCCAACGGAAATGCATGATGAAACTGACACTTTATTCTACATTTATTTTAAATGAGTTAAAAGATTTGCTTTGAAAGTATTTAGCTTACCATTGGCATACTCCATCTCAATGAAGAGAGATTGATCATCTAAGAAATGGTTGAAGTAGGAGATTATATTTGCATGATTTAGCATGGAGAGGATCTCTATCTCATTCTGAGCATCATACATCACTCTCTCAGAGCAACGCGTCAAATTGACCTCCTTCCATACAACCAATGAGTTGTCCTGGGGATGAACAATGCACAGAAATTACCTTTCTTATTTCTAGTTTCTTGCATTACAGTGTATATGACACAAAGCTAAAATTAGATGCTGCTTGTACATTAAGTATCGGCGTGCATGGTGATGTAGATATACAGTAGGCTTGCGGGTGCACCATGTGAGAGAGAGGGAGGATTGAGGAGTCCTGAAAAGCTAAAATTGTAGAATTTCCTAACAATATTTGACTGAGAATAGTAGAAAAATCTTATTTGCTTGAGATTGAGAACATACATGTAACTCTTACCGGTAATAATTCAAGTGACCATGACCAACATGGGATGGTAATAATATTACTTGACAATATGTCTTGACCGATTTGTGGATTATACAAAATTGATGATAAATTCTTCCCTCATATATCACTGAATTTCTTTCTTTTCTTTTCTTTTCTCAAATCTTTGCTTTCAATTACAAATTCAAATAGTACACAATAATACTAATGACAAGAAAATACTTGTATGATAATTTTCTCAAATTTAAAGTAGGCAAAGATGGCTAATTTTGACAAACAATTATATTTGACAAGGTCAATGTTTTGATTAATAATGTAAGCGAAAACATCTAAAGAAAGCATTAAAATGCTCAAAGCTTAATTATTAAGATAGAAATAAATGTCAACACTCAATAAGGATAAGAACTATTATTAGTAATACATTCTGATAAATGATAACTCTAAAATATCTTCTTCTTCTTCTTCAGGATAATCTGCCTCCTTCACTGCTAAAGATTCTTGCAGATGTATAAGTGCATGTGTGCAAATCCCTACAATTATCGTCCAGAGCTGTAATACCATCCCATAATTCCCATTAATAATCATTCCATCATCCTTTTGAATGATTTTTCCAGTTTCAAAAGTTATATAGACCCTAGTAACTAACTAGGATTACCGGTATAATGTTTTTTCCTTAAACAAATTTCTTCACTGTTGCATCTATCAATGAAATCAGAAAATGAAACAGAAAACAAAACATAACATAAATCTCATCTGATCAGTTAGTAAGGAAGCCATCATTCTCAGGTTACCTCCTAATTGGTGGGTTATTACCTCCTTCAGTGTTATATACCATGAACACTTCAGAACTACACCGCACTAGAGGCATTTACACTACAAGCAAATACAATCTGTTTTTTCACATTCAAGAGTTTTGTCAGAAGTTGCTAGGTACATGTAGCTAGGATACTACCCATAAACACACCAAAAAAAACGGATAAAAAAAATCCACTTCTGTTTTGTGTTTTTTTAAATACTGGCCGAAACTCCACCGGTTTTAGCAGTGTAAATGCTCACTCTTGTAGTGATTCAGCCTGAGCCAATACGGCTCTGGCGGGTATAAACCCATATGCGCGCAAGTCCCGCATTTGGCGACACCCTGTTGTCTAATAACCGCCCCGTCACTATACTCTCAAAACACTGGTGAATTGTTCAGGTGCTGACATGACACTCCTCGCGATCACTTGCAGAGCAGTGACAAGCGACAAAAAAACAGAATTAGGAAACACCAACATATTTTAATGGGCGTTGCCAGTATTGTTTGTATAGTCTATGGTATGTAAAAAGATAATGTTTTTTAAACTGTTTTTTTCTGCAATGTAAATTGGCCTACCGGTATTGTAACTCAAGGCATCTTCATCTCAAGTTTCTCTCTAAGTGTCTCACATTAACTTTTAGTTTTGTTACTGTTAGCTCCGTCTCTCTCACTGACACTGGCATGACAACACCCCCCCCCCCCCCCACCACCATCCATTCTGGCTTCATCCTAGGCCCGCCCCTTCTTCAATATTAAACATGACATGTTATCAAAATTTGATGCTGAGTATGGACCTCTCTCACCTCTGTTTTCCTGTACAGAACTGCTTCACCAAAAGCTCCCTTTCCAAGCACTCGAACAGGTGTGTACATTTCCTCCTGTATGGGATCATTGCCACCGGGCAGAAAGTTTGTTGAGCTCGGGGAGGAAAATCCTCCATCTTCCGTAGCCGCCATGGTTTTGTCTCGGTCTCTAAAAATTGCCTAAGTTATGACACAAAACGATTCAGGCAAACATGCCAACGTCCAAATGACTTGTCATCAAGAACTTGAAAGACTTGAACCAGAAATGTGTAGCTAGCTAGCTAGCCGCAGACTCCGGGGATCTCCGCGGAATCGAGATCAACATAACAACACTGTCGAGAGCTCGAGAGCTAGATCATCTGCAGTGTAGTGCGCTCCATGGAGTACAGAGCTAGTAGCGACCTCGACCTAGCAGCTAGCAAATTACGCACATTGAATAAGTCGTCTAAAACCCAATTATAGTAAACATGCCCAAACTTAGTTCGGCCAAATAGACGTAGGGTCGTAATTAGGCGTTGATAAAGAGTTAGATAGGGTGACTGGATCGGACAGGAAGGGGTGGCAGGGTGACATACATCCCCAAAACGACTCCCTAAATTCTTGAGAGCTTGAGACTGCAGAGAGGGTGGAGAGAAAAAAAAAGAGATGAGAGAGAGAGAGAGAGAGAAAGAGAGGGAGCGCGCGCGCGTGGTTTTGAGGGAGGGAGTGGGAGTGAGAGGGGGTGAAAGAATAACTAGTGTGAGTGTCACTACAGCAGTGTGTAGTGAGGATTGTTACAAGATTTCGTTATATAAAGTTTATATGGAAGACTAGTTAATTCAGTCTGAATATATAGACTACCAATGTCAATGTATTAGGCCTGTACTGCTGTTATCTTAGGTCAACAGAAGCCCCCTTGTTTTATAGTGCTAAATGAAAGTACTTTGCATACAATGTATGGGTATACATTCTGTGTGTAGGCACTTGTGTTGTAGATGTATCGCATATTATGTGTAGAGGCAGTATATCATCAGTGTTCAAGTGAATGTCTCAACAGTGAAGTTGCTAGTTGCAACTGTCTTCAAAAGTTTGATTTCCAGTGATTGTGGAGCATTTTACAGACCCGAATTGGTAAGAACTCACTTAATATAATAGTGGTAGTTAATGTTGAATTGTTTTATGAAGTAATGTAAGCTTAGGAGAGAATATTAGTTATCTTTCTTGTTTGTTATATATAGTTTGGAACTTGAAAGGCAAGGAAAGTTATGTGTGTGCTCTTCCAGTGTACTAAGGAGATGCGTGCATTGTACTGTACTCTCTCTTTCTCTCTCTCTCTCTCTCTCTCCCTCTCTATCCCTTTCTTCAGCTCTCTATGCATGTTTGTTACAGTGCCACTGTAATGGTGGTGACTGCATTATAATGTATTATAATGTATTTTAAGACAGGTACTTTCTTATCTAGTAGGATATTATTCTTTATACTTGTAGTTGTTTTGTTGCAGCATATATATGTAAATAGACTGCGTAATTAGTTAATTACATACATGCAAGTTGACTTATATTTTCATTGTCTAGCCAAGGTTTATAACTTGTTGCTTATAAAACAAAGAGACAGTTTTGGAGTACATGTAGTCAGTATTATGTAGGTTCAATCTCTTTATTAAGCTATTTTGACATGATATGTATGCACATGTATTGTTGTAGTGTCTCATAAGTATGAACATTATGTAGTTTGTTTCTCTTTCTGTTGTGTTACAGATTGTTATCTGAAGGTTGAGTGACCATACGACCAGTGAATAAACGACAGTTCGTGAACTTTAACTGAATCTTCGTACCTCGTCATTTCAATCTTGTGAATAACAACTTTAGGGTGTTTGTGTAATCGTCGAAACTCCTCGGTTTACTAGTTGTAAACGGAGGCAGCCACAATAACAATCAAGGTCTGTTATTCGAAGTCGAATAACAATCAAGGATCTGCATGTGCATCCAGTTAGTTGAAAGGCAAAGTAGCCTGTGCATCCAGTTAGCTGAATGGCTAAGTAGCCTGTGCATCCAGTTAGCTGAATGACAATCAACGTCTGTTATTCGAAGTCGAATAACAATCAAGGATCTGCATGTGCATCCAGTTAGCTGAATGGCTAAGTAGCCTGTGTATCCAGTTAGCTGAATGGCAAAGTAGCCTGTGCATCCAGTTAGCTGAATAAGAATCAAGGATCTGCATGTGCATCCAGTAAGCTGAATGGCAAAGTAGCCATAGACTTAAACGAATAGTGAATTGTATAAGTTACCATGGCGACGGCCACTAGTCTCCCTGATAAGCTCGAGGAAGGGAGCGTTAAAAGTAAGCGCTCCGTGCAAAGGGAAAGAATTCTCCAAGCGTTCCATGCTGAACTCCAGATGATGGATCAGGAAGATGAACTCAAAAGAATTGAGTTTGCCAGAAAGCAAGAAGAAGCAACTTCAAGATTGAGAAAACTCACCAAGCAGTTCAATGAGAGAAGGGCAAAACTTGAAGGAAACAGGGATGACATTGAATATTCAGAGACCCATTCTGTCAAATTAGATCTTCCTGAGGAGAAAAGGGAGGACTCCATCCAGAGATATTTGCAACCCCAAGATAGTGTAGCACAGCAGAGCCTTCAACAGCTAAGGAGTGATGTCACTCCTGTGTATGAATCGAATGGGTTGCAAAAGGTAGCTGAATCACTCGCAGAGGTAGCAAGGTCGATGGCTATACAAAGTGCTAGCTCTCAGCAGGTCGCTGTGACCAGTCAGTTGCCGCACATCGATCTTCCCGTATTCAGTGGAGACCCCCTCCAGTATCCCCTCTGGAAAAATGCATTCGTGAGCCTCGTAGACAGGAATCCAGTTGATCATCCTACAAAGCTGCATCACCTGAATAACTCTGTGGCTGGAGCACCAAAGAAGTTGGTGCAGCACTATCTTCTTCTCGGCACTGAGGATGCCTACCACAAAGCATGTGGAGCACTCGCAGAACAATACGGAAGCCAGAGCGTGGTGTCTGCTGCCTTCACAAAGTATGAAGGTTCCTCAAAGTGCACCAACGTCTGTTCCTTACCAGACCAGGACAGGAAAGAACACCGCATGATTGTGCCTGTGTGGGTACGGCATGCTAGCAACCCAGGCAACGAGATTGTACAATACGCGATCCTGGATGACCAATCCAACGTTGGATTTGTGTCGAAAGCATTGTGTGAGAAGATGTGTGTAGATGGAACAGATACTAATCTTCAATTGACAACAATGCACGAGAGTACGCGCATCAAAACCTCAAGGATCTGTGGACTTGAAGTGCTGGACTTCAAGAAGGAGCATGTGGTCACACTACCAGCATGCTATCAGAGGGACGACGTTCCAGCTAGGAGATCACAAATTCCTAAGGGTGAAGTAATGAGGAGGTGGGCTCATCTGTTCCCCATTGCCAACGACCTCATGCCATACCCTCACTTTGCCTACGCCAATCGGGCAAAGGAAGTATTCTCCCCAGAGAGAGTTCTCAACGTGCTGGAGAAGGATATCATCGAAATGAATCAGAAGGGAAAGCCCTATTCCATCGACGAGATGAAGTTCATGAGCATGTTGGAGAAAGGAGTCAGGAAGACAGAGGATGGACACTACGAGATGCCCCTACCTCTGAAGTCCAAGGAGATGTCACTTCCGTACAACAAGCCCCTTGCCATCAAGAGATGGAATCAATTGACTGCCAGATTCAGGAAGAACCAAATGTTCCAGGAGGATTACACCGAGTTCATGAAGGGTGTGATCGCTGATCATGCGGAAAGGGTGCCGCCAGATAGACTAAATGCTACGGTCAGTGTTCGTACATCAGAAAGGTCAAGGTACTGATAGCAGACGGAATATTGGACAATGAGGGAAAGCGTAAACGCCCTCCCGTTGAACTTGATAGACCTATCCAGAAGTTGGTACTGTTGTTACCAGTTGAAAAGTGATTTTGACTGTCACAAGTGAAGACCAGTGTATATTCCCCCTCAAGGAGCCTTTGATATTAAATCGCGAACAATGTTTTCAGCTCATCCGAACAATAAGCTAGGATTAAGAAACGCGAGTTTCGTAAACAGTTATGTTTTATAGTCTTCACCTTTTAAAAGTATTGCAAGGTGATAGATATTTCAGATTTGTATTTATGTACATGTGTATTGATTTTAAGTGTATGATAATGTCTTGTTTTAAAGTGTAAATGGACAAGCCATTTAAAGGAGCCATGTCACTACAGCAGTGTGTAGTGAGGATTGTTACAAGATTTCGTTATATAAAGTTTATATGGAAGACTAGTTAATTCAGTCTGAATATATAGACTACCAATGTCAATGTATTAGGCCTGTACTGCTGTTATCTTAGGTCAACAGAAGCCCCCTTGTTTTATAGTGCTAAATGAAAGTACTTTGCATACAATGTATGGGTATACATTCTGTGTGTAGGCACTTGTGTTGTAGATGTATCGCATATTATGTGTAGAGGCAGTATATCATCAGTGTTCAAGTGAATGTCTCAACAGTGAAGTTGCTAGTTGCAACTGTCTTCAAAAGTTTGATTTCCAGTGATTGTGGAGCATTTTACAGACCCGAATTGGTAAGAACTCACTTAATATAATAGTGGTAGTTAATGTTGAATTGTTTTATGAAGTAATGTAAGCTTAGGAGAGAATATTAGTTATCTTTCTTGTTTGTTATATATAGTTTGGAACTTGAAAGGCAAGGAAAGTTATGTGTGTGCTCTTCCAGTGTACTAAGGAGATGCGTGCATTGTACTGTACTCTCTCTTTCTCTCTCTCTCTCTCTCTCTCCCTCTCTATCCCTTTCTTCAGCTCTCTATGCATGTTTGTTACAGTGCCACTGTAATGGTGGTGACTGCATTATAATGTATTATAATGTATTTTAAGACAGGTACTTTCTTATCTAGTAGGATATTATTCTTTATACTTGTAGTTGTTTTGTTGCAGCATATATATGTAAATAGACTGCGTAATTAGTTAATTACATACATGCAAGTTGACTTATATTTTCATTGTCTAGCCAAGGTTTATAACTTGTTGCTTATAAAACAAAGAGACAGTTTTGGAGTACATGTAGTCAGTATTATGTAGGTTCAATCTCTTTATTAAGCTATTTTGACATGATATGTATGCACATGTATTGTTGTAGTGTCTCATAAGTATGAACATTATGTAGTTTGTTTCTCTTTCTGTTGTGTTACAGATTGTTATCTGAAGGTTGAGTGACCATACGACCAGTGAATAAACGACAGTTCGTGAACTTTAACTGAATCTTCGTACCTCGTCATTTCAATCTTGTGAATAACAACTTTAGGGTGTTTGTGTAATCGTCGAAACTCCTCGGTTTACTAGTTGTAAACGGAGGCAGCCACAGTGAGTGTGATAGACTGTGGGGCAAGGGCCAGTTAACCATCTAAAAAAAAAGTTTCGTAGTCCCATCTTTGGCAGAGAAAACTAACTATACCAAATGATTGTGATGAAGTTGCTGATGAGAAAACACCTTTGTTCTCCAAATTTCGTACACCCGTTGATGAGATAATATGCTAATTAGTTTAATTGGATTTTAACAAGATTTCCTTGAAAAAGACTAGCACCAACTATGGTAAATAGTCCATTTTGCTGATTCAAAGTTGCTATTTCTTGATTCTTTTTTTCAAAATGTTTATTTCAGACCTCTATGAGACTGTTCAGGTGTGATTTTTCTGCGCAATTAATTTAATTCGCTAATTAGTTTTATTGGATTTTAACAAGATTTCCTTGAAAAAGACTAGCGCCAGCCATTTTGCTGATTCAAAAGGCATTCAAATTTGCTATTTCTTGATTATTTTTTGCAAAAAAATTATTTGGGACCTCTATGAGACTGTTCGGGTGTGATTTTTCTGCGCAATTAATTTATATTTATGCTGTTGGTGAACTTGAAAACACTAATTGCAATTTTCCATGTGTTTTTATTATTTTTTTTCAGCACGTCATCAAGACGAGTTTTGTTAAGCCCAAGTTATGTAATTTCTTGCATCTTGTTTAAGTTACCATCTGGTTGTATATTCATGTCACTCATTTAACTCTACCTTTTTTTTCTCTATTTCTCTCTCTCTCTCTCTCTCTCTCTATTATCTGTCTATCTCTCTCTCTCTCTCATCACACACGTTTTTTGTTCTCATGTCTCCTCTTAAAAATCTCTTTTTCTTCCCCTGTTCTTTTCTCCTTACTCTTCCACTCTCCTTCATCATATTTTACCTTATTATATTCAACATGTCTTATTGAGTTTCATCAACTGTGCAAACTCCTTCCAATCAAATCATCAATATTGTTGCTTTTAGTTTATTTTCCACTTCCCCGAAAAATATATTGCTGTTCAAAACTTTGTTAATACTAATACTAGGTAGTACTAGCAACACTGCTCATGGTCTGCATATAGCATCAGTTTAGAACAATACAAATTTCAAAGAGAAACCTAACAACAAATTCATACCAAAACTGCCAAATAAATTATATTCTTCTCTGTTTAATTTGATTTCATTCATTACGTAAAATGTATTACCGTACTACCATTTTGTCAATGACATTTATCTACAAGTAGCTTATTACCGGGTACTTTTTCTAATACCGGTACTTGCCCGGCCCCCCCACTCAGTGTTATTTAGGGTACGCATATGCTTGTTCCCTCTTTTTGAAAGCACCCCCTATCTGAGGACTGCCAACATTTCCGAACCCCCCTTTCGCGGGCTTTTCCCCGGCTTTTCCTGCCTTGGAGACCCCCCTAAATCAGGAAAAATGCTCAATATACCCCCCTAAATTCGGAATAATTTCTCAGGAGTCTAAAGAGACGAGAGAAAAAACGAAAAAAGACCCCCTTTTTAAAGAAATCTCCGGGTGAAAGTCAAATACACCCCTTTTTTTACAATTCTCGGGCCGGACTTTGTCGCACAAAAAGTACCCCTTTACCGGACATTTTGGCAACACGCATGGGGTCATTTCGACCTCTGAGTGGGGGGGCCGGGGGTACTTGCCACTGCCAGTGAAATCAGAACTATGGTACATGTATGTTGTAATTTACAAATACAATTTAACTTGAACTGCAAAGATTGTTAACAGTTTTTACATAAATATTGATGGAATTGAAATAAATTATGAAACATTGATAAGATGTGTCTAGTCATTTGTTGTCTTTTTTTTTGGTTCAAAGAAAATGTCCTAAAATATGTTGATAGAAAAATTGCCAAAAAGCTGTTACTGCTGAGGAATTCATAAATTTTACATATTTCGATTACCACAAGTGTCCAAAGAGTGTGATGGAAAGTTTGAAACGACCCATATATTTGAACGTAATAAAGTTTTATATTTGACTATAAATCTTGGCAATGCTTCAACATGGCAAAATACATGTATGCATAATAAATAATAAATGTCCATATTATTATTATTATTATTATGAAACAAATGAGCATGCAATGCAAGTACAATAGTACATTACTGACATACTGTAAGTGATTACTTGTAATATTACTGTTAGCAAAATAATTCATTTTGCTTTCCTTGATACAATTCTTATCAATTAATCAATATAATTATCAGGTCTGGAATAAATAGGGAACTGTAGGACATCGTTTCCTTGACATTTGAAGGAAAATGTTTGCCTCTTAATGAAATATAAATTGGAACAGTTTGTAACAATCAAACCTTGGGAGATTAATTTTGGCATCTAAAAAAAACATTTTTCCAGCTCTGAAATTATATCTGTACATATATTTAGTATATTCTTATATTACAGGTGCACATAATGTATATGTAAAACACCCCAGTCGACCCATACATTTGTATATGTCTATTCATGAAAGGTTGGTTATTTTGTACATAATTTACAAAGGAACCATAGGGATATAAAAATCTTTTTTTTAATCCCCAAATTGAATAAGAAATATCAGAGAAAAAGTTTCACAATGATCTTGCCTTTGTTCATTTTAATTTTGTCATATATATTTGTTGTTATCAATAGAACCAGTTAATGTTGAAAAATCTGCTGATAAACAGCAAAAAATATTGCATACATTTAGTGCTCAATATGAACGCGTAAATTTTATGCTGATGGTCTCAAATAGGTCCAACAAATCAAAGCTGGCAGATGAGCGCCGAGATTGTAGACTCCTACACAGCTTCTTAGGTTGTGAAGGGATATCAGATGGATCTGGGGGAAAAAGAATATAAAACACTAGGTCAAAAACAAAGCTCATATCAAAAATTGGCGATAGCTTCGCTGTCATTTCAAAAATTTCAGATAGCTTTGGCGTCTTTTGAAAATTCTTTAAATGTTTCAAAAACAAAAATTCATATTAGTCTATAAGTCATTTCGAAAATTGGCAATAGCTTCGCCGTCTTTTCTATTTTAAAATTAAAATTGTTGATACTGATAGCTTGACAGCCGCCATGTCTATCTTCATGTTAGAAAAAGTGCCCCTTGTCTAAATAGGCTTTGTATTTTGACCCCTAGTGTGGAACTATAATGGCGTCATGCACTGATTACAAAAAATGTAAACAACACACCACATCCCAACATTAAAATATAAACTAGTTTAAAATAATGCTGTTTTGACCAGGACAATAAGTTAAACTAACTAGGAAGGCATGTCTAAAGTTAAGTAAAGCCTGGCTCAATGCGTCCAACTTGTTCGACATTTTTTTTGTTTTCCATTAGGCCTATTATAATTTACAGCTAAGGAGGGTCTACATGTACGTACATGATTACATCAATGACCGTTGATGTCAACTCACAGAGGCATTGTAAACTATTCAATCAACTGACAAACTTCATCATTCAAGCTCCATCATGCATGAATGAAAGGCCTAAATCTAGGCCTAGAGCCTAGAGCCTAGAGCCTAGAGGGTCTAGATTCTAGACTCTATTCTCTAATTGTTTTTTTTTTAATGAGGCTAGATCTAGATCAAAGTCAAAGGCAGGGCCTTAATTTTTGCTGGGTTATCATGGTTATTGCAAACAAAGAAATTGAAACTCACCTTCAAATTCAGTCTTGTTAGAATCTCGAGGTATTTTACGGAGAAAAGTGCAAAATTGCGACGGATTTCCTTGCCAATGTCGCCGGTATTGAACCGTATACATACAGCGACAGTACCAGTGCAGCGCAAATTACAACATTGTCATTTGCAATGCACCACTGCCACTGTCGCTGTATACGGTTCAATACGGGCGACATTGGCAAGGAAATCCGTCGCAATTTTGCTCTTTTCTCCGTCCGTATTTTTCAAAATCTCAGCAGAAGCAAAAGCTTTGGACCATTTTGTGTCTGTAAATTCTTTCAAAACGACATCATCCACAGTCGGGAAGTGAATAAAACACCTCTTTATCTCTGTATCGGTGACGAAACTTCATCGGTGTCATTCTCCATTATGGTTGTTAGATGTTTTTAAGTAGCGAACGAGGACAATGACGTAGGGAAAATCCCGCCTCGTGATTGGTTGAATTGGACACACCTCCGATTTCCCGGGATATTACCCACGATTATTAGGAGGAAACATAATTATTATCTTTAATTAGTTTTCACGAAAAACCGTAAAGAAAATGAGGAGAACAAACGGTAAATATGTTTGTAATAATTTTCTTTATATTTTCATACTGGTTTGGTCGACTGCCACTGATGGGACTACGAAACAACACAATACAGTGACTTGCCCTACAGTCTATGAGAGTTAGAGAGAGAGAGAGACAGAGACAGAGAGACAGACAGCTAGAGAAGGGGAGGGGAAAAGGAGGGAGACAGAGGGGGCACAGTGCCCCCACCTTTTCAACCACCCGAAAAGTGCCCCTTTTTACATAGGAATAGTGCCCCTTTTACTTTGACAAGTGCCCCTATTAATTTGTAAAAGTGCCCCTTCCCCTTTTCAACTCTGATACAGAGCACAATTTTTTTTTGTTTTTTTTGCTCCCGAAAATTTGAAAAACGCGCCGGCCAAAAATTCGCTCAGTGGGGGGGGGGGGGGGGGGGGGGGGGGGGGGGGGGGGGGGGGGGGGGTAGTGAGCACATTTTTTTTTTTTGATCCTCAAAAAATTTCAATTTGCACCCCCCCCCCTTGAGCGCCAGGGGGGGGGCCCAACCCCCAAAAAAGGTAAAAATCACGTGATTTTACATGATTTTTTCTCAAGGGGGGGGGCCCGGGCCCCCCGGGCCCCCCCCCCCTGGATCCGCCACTGCGAGAAGTTACTCCTTTTCACTTCAGATAGGTGCCCCCTTCACCTCCGATAAATGCCCCTTTAAAATCTGGTCGGTGCCCATTTTCTTTTAACTAATGCACATTTTCCTTTATTACAAGTGCCCCTTTTTCATTCACATAAGTGCTCCTTTTGATATCTGGTCATTGCCCCTTTTCAGGTTCGATAAGTGCCTCTTTTCATCTCTGATAATGTCCCTTTTAACAATATATAATAATATCTTATAAATGCCCCTATCAAAATCGAATGGGGCCCCTTTTCCGTTTTTCATCCCTTGTGAGTGCCTCTTTTAGAGGGTGTAAGGTCCATTTTCACCTCTTATAATTAATCTTTGTACTTTGGCACATTCTCCATTTCTTTCCTGATAAGTGTCCCTTTTTCTTTTCATCATTAAACGCGCACTAGCTAATTTCAGCAATTTCCCCCAAAGCTCGCTCGCTATATACGCTCCCACGCATCTATAGATGATATACTTATATTACTTATCAAAGGTCTTTTCAGTCTTCCGTTACGATAATGTGCTTATAACCCCATTAGGATCGTTTTTTTTTCTCTTTATAAGATGTAATTTTGCACTGCGACCTTACACATCTTAAACATTTTCATCGCTCGCTCGCAAACAATTTTTAGACAATCAAACCCAACTGCAAAGCATGATGCTTAAGCAATATCTTGTATGGTGTATAAAGTGAAACAAATATTGAAATAATCCCTGATAATTGTAATCACAATGTAGGGCATATACCAATGTCTAAAAAATTGTATATTTTCGCTTTGATTTCCCTTTGTAGGTGCCCTTTTTTCTTGGTGCCCCCCTCCCACTTTGGAAGTTGCTCGACCGCCCCTGGAGGGAGGGGGAGGTAATTAGATGATCCGATAAGTTCTAGTCAATTTCAATGAAAACATGTCAAGAAACTGATGATTTTATTGATCAAATAGATTGAGCCAATATTTAGTTTTTAATATGGTAAAGAAGAACACAATGCAAGCGTTGTAGGCCTACTCTGCATTGCATTCCGCATATAATGAAACGGGTATGATGAACCCATCAGGCAATAACAAGACAATTGTGAAATATCTTCTTGCCATACACGTACAACCCTCATAAAACCTGTTGGTAATACAATTTCGAAACTTGGGGTTCCTGTTTTTGTATTTTTCACTTTGTAATTTCTTCTTCTGTTACGACTCCTTTTCTATTCCAATGAATGTTGGTTCAATTTGATTCTTTCTTTACATTTAGAATACTTACTATCATGATAATTTAGGAAATATTCAAATAAAATTCAGCACTATCTAATGTTAAAATTACATTAAAATCAAAAGTCCATGCAGTGTTCTATATTACAAAAGGGAAGATTGCATCGGAAAACCGGATTAGATTAATAACATAATTCCCTTGACATGGGTTTCCAGAAGTTGAAAATTAGTTAAATCTTCTTTTAATCAATTTTTGTAGGAAGTCTATGATATGAATCTATTTAAAAAAAGATTACCTGGAAAAAAATATACGAAGTAAGAAGATCGTCAATCTATCTTCAAGTCCAAGAAACTATGGACACAGTCAATGTAGATTTGGGTGAGTTTCTTTGTATTTTTACGAAAAGCTTTCAACTTCCCAATCATACTGACATGCACTAGTTCCAAGATCAACACCTGTGCAACAACTGATAAGTGTTAAGGACAAGGTTTCCCTAATTATAATTGAATTGATAAACGTGTTCGATAAAACACCAATGATATTAAAATGCAAGCACCGGAGAATGCACTTTCAGAACCAAGTAGGGCGAAGGTGGCCACTATACCCCTATATAAGCCTGACAACAAAGACAAATCTTGTCATATGATTCTGAAGTAACTTGATCTAGTTTTAACAATTCTCCTTTCGAAGAAAGAAAGTGTGACTGAAATCAGGATGAAGAGGGTTGCCTCTCTCAAGTTTTTGGCGGGAGTTGTCTGGGTGATGCTGGTGTTCGTTGATGAGATGCAAGGCCAGCAGCAGACGATGGGTTTGGTGGAATCAGCTAAATCTGTTCAAGATCTAGCTCACATTGCTGTGGTGGATGCTCTGTCTCCTCTTCAGACGGCACTCTCCCTGCTGGAGTCTCAGGTAAGGTCCATCTAACTTTATTTATTTCATTTAATATATGATCGTGAACTTGAAGGTAATTGCCATTGCGACACTGTAATTATTGATATGCTCATAATCAACCAAATAATGATCATAATACGAGATTCCCCATCATAATTTTTATATACGAACTAAAAAAAATGTATACATACAAGGTGGGATTATAATCATGAACAGTTTACCGTGAGCTTTGCTAATCACAAAAGAAATATTAGTTTTGAAATACAAAGAGCATTCTCACAAAAATCCTATCTAAACATTCAGTATCATAAGCCTATCATTATTATGTTTACATTATTGATCTCTTGTGGATTTTTCCTTACACTCTTAAAATGTTGGGTAAATTTAGTTGGGTAATTGTTGGTTGGTTAAAAAAATTCGTTATTCTGGGCTATTATTACCCATTTAAGCATTTAAGTGTTTTAACCAATATTGGGCAATTATTTTTACTTAATTATTGGGCGGATATTTACCAACAGTATTGGTAAATGAGGGTTGGGAACCAGTTGCCCCGTAGTTGTGTAATTTTGCCACATTTCCTTTGCGAGTTGGGTAAATTTTGTTGGGCAACTGATGGTTGGGTAGAAATTCGCCTAGAAATTTACCAACATTATTTTGCAAATTAGGATTGAGTAATTTTTGCCTGTAGTTGTGTAATTTTGGCACATTCCCACTGCGAGTTGGGTAAATTTCGTTGGGCAACTGATGGTTGGTCGAGAAATCGTTTCCAAAGTTGGGTAATTTTTATCCCAATCTATTTCAGGGCATTATATTTACCCAATTATTATACATTTAGCAACAACATCGTTCCAAGGAGTTGAGAGCAATTTACCAAGTAGTTGGGTAATTGTTAGATGCTGAGGAATATTACTCATCACCACTTACCCAATTTGACTTTGCTCAAATTTTTGTTTGCTCATATATTGGGTAATAAATGACCACCGCCTCTTACCCAATTTCACTTTGCTCAAATTTTTGTTTGCTCATATATTTGGTAATAATTGACCACCGCCTCTTACCCAATTTTACTTTGCTCAAATTTTTGTTTGCTCATAATTATGCTGAGTAATAATTACCCATCACCACTTACCCAATTTTACTTTGCTCAAATTTTGTTTGCTCATATATTGGGTAATAAATGACCACCGCCTCTTACCCAATTTCACTTTGCTCAAATTTTTGTTTGCTCATATATTGGGTAATAAATGACCACCGCCTCTTACCCAATTTTACTTTGCCCAAATTTTTGTTTGCTCTTATGCTGAGTAATAATTACCCATCACCACTTACCCAATTTTACTTTGCTCAAATTTTTGTTTGCTCATATATTGGGTAATAAATGACCACCGCCTCTTACCCAATTTCACTTTGCTCAAATTTTTGTTTGCTCATATATTGGGTAATAAATGACCACCGCCTCTTACCCAATTTTACTTTGCCCAAATTTTTGTTTGCTCTTATGCTGAGTAATAATTACCCATCACCACTTACCCAATTTTACTTTGCTCAAATTTTTGTTTGCTCATATATTGGGTAATAAATGACCACCGCCTCTTACCCAATTTCACTTTGCTCAAATTTTTGTTTGCTCATATATTGGGTAATAAATGACCACCGCCTCTTACCCAATTTTACTTTGCCCAAATTTTTGTTTGCTCATATGCTGAGTAATAATTACCCATCACCACTTACCCAATTTTACTTTGCTCAAATTGTGTTTGCGCATAATTGGGTAATAATTGACCACCGCCTCTTACCCAATTTTACTTTGCTCAAATTTGTGTTTGCTCATATGCTGAGTAATATTTACCCATCACCACTTACCCAATTTTACTTTGCTCAAATTTTTGTTTGCTCATATATTGGGTAATAAATGACCACCGCCTCTTACCCAATTTATTTTGCCCATATTTTTGTTTGCTCATATGCTGAGTAATATTTACCCATCACCACTTACCCGATTTTACTTTGCTCAAATTTTTGTTTGCTCATAATTGGGTAACAATTGACCACCGCCCCTTACCCAATTTATTTTGCCCATATTTTTGTTTGCTCATATGCTGAGTAATAATTACCCATCACCACTTACCGAATTTTACTTTGCTCAATTTTTGTTTGCTCATAATTGGGTAATAATTGACCACCGCCCCTTACCCAATTTATTTTGCCCATATTTTTGTTTGCTCATATGCTGAGTAATAATTACCCATCACCACTTACCGAATTTTACTTTGCTCAATTTTTGTTTGCTCATACATTGGGTACTGATTTGACCAACGCCTGTTACCCAATTTCACTTTGCGCCTTTTTTTGTTTGCTTATATAGGGTAGTAATTGACCACCGACTTTTACCAAATATATTTAGCTCAATTTTCTTTAGCTCACAATATGCTGTGTAAATATTGCTATGAAAAATTGAAATTATCTCTCCTGTAATTGTAACCATTTACTTCTATTTTAAAATTATAATAACAGAGTGTTGAAGCGACGATGAATTTGTGCGAGTTTGATGCTGAAAGAGTCCAAGATTTATCTTTTGTGAAAACTGAGCCATCTTAACCATGTAGGCCTATAGAGTTACATAATCTACGTAAGTAATGATCATGGAACGTACACACTATCATCGTCAATTACGCGCATGCGTAAATGGCAGTGGAAACCTTCAATGGGGACTAGACTTACGTTTAACCAGACTTGGGTAAAGTTTGCCTGGTATTGGTCTTGGGGTAGCGCGCACATGGCCTGGTCTCTCGCGATCAGCATGCCATGCGCAGTACTATTTCTATTTACTCGGTATACTAGCCGGCGCGGCCGTCCCGGCCCGGGAGCTCGAGCTATATGATACACCAACGTAACTAGCAGCCTGTACGTACGTCGTACGTACATTACGCATCATATCGGAGTCTTGCATGCTAGAGCCTGAGGGTCTAAAAATGGAGCTCGACAACTGCTGCGGAGATAGTTCAAGTGAAGATGGGTTCATAGACCCTCTCACCAAAATCGTTCAAAGGTGGGGATGTCCGTCAGTGTTAAAGATACTAGAAGGTACGTTCACATCTTATTGAGATTAGAAGTTTAGAACATGATCAACAGGTACTTGCTGTAGACTTGTTCCCATATCCATAACACATGGGCAACATGTAGACTAGTTCTATATGCCTCAGCAATGGTTAATGAATACGCTTCAATTCAATTGGTCTATTAAACTTTGCCTCAAATTTGCTCTTTTAATGCATGTGTTACTAATCCAAACTAATATTTGATTGATATAGATATCAAATTCAAATTGTACTGTTTCCATGAATTTTAGATCACAAATGAATATTTAAAAATATTTTGTTCAAGATTTTACAAAACCCAAAGCCAGGCCAAAACCCGGATTTCTGTGCTGTTTCCTGCTACAATACATACATAACACAATACCCTCCATTTTCTATGGATCATGGGTTGTATGGGGTCCAATCACAGAACTCTTAAATACGTATTTAAGAGTTCTGTGGGTCCAATACATTGGACCACATACTTGTAGGTGTGTACCCAGATAGTATTACAGTACGTGGGACTGGTGTAATTTTGAACAATTATCTCTGTTATCTGAAATTGGTATTACTATACTAGATCTAGTCTAGGTCTAGATCTAGATCTAGGCCTACTTATATTTAATAATCAACACTGAACTGAATGATTCATCAGAAAATTGAAGTTGTCAAATAATGTACAATTTTATGAACATTATTTTGTGGAAGATCATCTTATGATCTTTCATTTTCCTGTAGATCTAGAAGTCTAGATTTCAAAAAGTGAGACAATTTGTCTTGCCCATTGCCATGTTAAGGATTTTGCCCTTTCATTTTCTACAGGACTTTGAAATCCAAACACTCTAAAAAAATGTTGGGCAAGTGCCCAATTTTTACCCAACATGAGGGCACTTATGTGTCCGACTAACTATTGGGTAAATTAAAGATTTTGCATGATTTACCCAGTGTTGGATGAAAAGAAAATACTCAACTTTTAACCAACAAAATTTACCCCAATAGGAAATTCACCCAATTCTCACCATAATGTGTAGTATATTCGACACTAGTTGGGCAAATTATTTCATCAGTAACTACATGGTTGGTAGAAAATAACCCAATTATTGGACAAAAATGACCAACTTTAATTTGCCCAAAAATATTACCCAATTATTTCATCGGTAACTACATGGTTGGTAGAAAATAACCCAATTGTTGGACAAAATTTGCCCAACATCAGTTTTACCAAGTAACACCTACCCAACTTATTTCTGACCTTTTATTAGGTAACTTCATACAGTAAATGGTTGGGAGAAATTATTTGACAAAAACGCGCCAAACTTTGATTTGCCCAGTAACATCTGCCTAACTTTGTTTTACAGAGCATAGACTCTACATCCTCTTGGTTTTAAATGGGGCTATTAATTATGTGCTATTGCGATATTCCTTGTCACAACTAAAAGGCAGTTGACCCACATTTTAGCCCATATTAATAGCCTAATTCAAAACCAAGAGGCTGTGGTGGTTTTCGAAATTGCAGTGACCTCGCTGTAGTACACGAATGGGCACAATTTTTAACATGGGTACATTTTTTCTCATTTAAAAAAATCTTTTTCTGAAAATAATTTTTAAATATGGAAAAATTACAGATGCTTAAGCCACCAAATTATGCCGACAAAATTGTACACTATTTTACTACATGTCCAGATTTCAATGAAATCATTAGAACCGATGGACGGATTACAATCCAAACTTGGGACATGTACATGTATCTTGCAAGTTGCAAAGCCAACGAACTGATTCGATTTTGGGATGGAGGTGCACATGGAGGAAGGACATTCGTTAGTACAGGATTAACTGTCCTATTTTGCTTCATATCAGTGAAATGTTCCAGCACATGCATTTTTTTAATGTTTCACACCACTGAACAATAAGCTGTACAAAAGAATTATTAAACACCACAAA